AAACACAAGAAAAACAGACAAAAAAAAAACATTTGGTATAAACTGTAAAAGCTACTTTTAATATCTCTCTCGAAAAAACTGTTACCAACAGCCATGAATAAAAGGTTAAATTGGGTTAAAGAGAGAAGTGCCTATAATAGGGCTAAATAGGAAAACAAAAGCTAAGACTAAATTATACATATATACATACTTATATTTGAGATATATCCTAACTAGATTTAGAGCAGCCTATAGGTGCATTGGATTTAGAATATATAGGCATGATTTGAATGACTGTGAGACTGACATTGAACGATTGATTGACAGATGGACTGGCTGACTAGTGATTCATTGACTGATTGACTGAATGCTTAATGTACATTTAAAACTGATGGAATTGGTAAATAGATTGAATGATTAATAGACTAACTAAGACTTGATTGAGCAACTCTATGATTGATTGACTGACTGCCTGAGCAAAAACTTGTTGATTGATCTACAGAATGAATGATTGACAGAGTGAATAAGTGATTGATTGACTGACTATGCTTGGCCAACACAACAAATTGATTTATTGATTCATAATCAATATACAGCTCAAGTCCTCATAGATAAGAAATCCATAATGCGTACGCCATAAAAAAGTCTATAAAAAATATATAATTAAGATTTAAGTATCTAATAAAAAGTTGAATATGGAATGATACTGCATGTCATTTTAAAGAAATTGAACTTTAACTTTTGATATTTTGATTCTTGTGCAGAGGCAATTCAAGAACTGAAATCATAATCAAATTTCATGTTCCACTATAGATCATACTCCATATGACAGCATAATAAAATTTCATGCTCAGCCAGATCTTACTCCATACATAAGCTCAAGTAATCACGACTCTTGAGTTCGAACAGCTTAGTTTGGGCAGCACTGGCAGTTTGACAAGCACCCCATTGATTTATTTGCCAGCGTGCCTGATTTATGTAACTTTGATTTGATATATTTATGTGGAATACATTTTCAAATGAAATCGGCATGCGATATATACATATATGTATGTATATATTATATATCTGAGAGTTATGCATATATCGTCTATAATATTTATCATTTCTTGGCTCAGCGCAGAGGCAAGAATCACTCGATTGCAACGTGTTTATGTCACAGGCTCCCAGCACATAAATCAAATCCAATGCAAGTGTGGGTGGAATTCTGTTTTTCTTGTCGGTTTTCTTTCTTTTTTCATTGCTTTTTTTTTTTTTTGGGTTAGGTTTTGTCGCCAACTCTCAGCCCAGAAGTTGAGTCTAGGGCGTCGGTTGGCACTTTGCACGTGCGTGGCGCATATATGTATGTATGTATATACATATGAAGATATATACAGATATATATGCGTGTATATCGCTTGCATATATCAATCACTTGAACTGGCTTGCAACTCTTTTTACGCTTCGCCAGAGTCATGTGCCACACTTTCCAGCAACAACAACAACAATGGCTAGAAATGTGCGCTGCATAAGTGATGAAAGCCCAAAATGAGTTTGACAAGCGCTGGCTGCCAAACTGTGCGCACAGATGGCTGCCTGTGCGCTTTGTTTTGCACACACACACACAAATATATATATACACCAGGGCTGCCTTACCCTTTAGCATCTGGCATCTGCCTCTGTCTCTATTAGACTTTGTTTTCAAAAAGATTTCAACGCCCCCGCAGCAGCAGCAGCAGCAGCAGCAGCAGCAGAGGCAGCAGAGGCAGCGACGGCAGCAGCAAATGCAAAATGCACATTTTTAATGATGGGGGCCCTGCACTTGAGCCAACGGCAACAATAACAACGACAACAGCAGCACAAACAACGTTGTTGACGTTGGCGTCTCGCACAGGATGTGCCTCAGAGTTGGGGGCAATTGGGGAACGGGGAGCATGAATTGAGGGATTGGTGCTTGCTGCTTGCCGCTTGGGGCTGGCTCATCAGCCATCAGGGTCTGCCTGCCCTTCGACTTATGCAAAACGTCTCCACACTTTGTTTTTTATGGCCTGTTCAATGCAGTCGCCGGCAGCTCAACTCAAGGGATTCCGTCTTGTCTGATGGGCACCGTCTCCTCTCCTCGGATTCTCCGTTGCCGCCTCTACCCCACTAACCTCGAAAGTTGCCACATTTGGCTTTAAAGTTTTGCGTTTGTGTAACACTTTTCTCTCGCCATCTCTCTCTCCCTCTCACACTCTCTGTCTCTCTTTCAGCCGCTCTGTCTCTATTCGTAATCCGCTTAAGTTCTCAAGAATCGGCACAGCGTCATAATGAGCACAGCGCGATCATCATAATTGTCGAACGTTGTGCTTTGGTATTAGTTCGTGCTTTCGTTATGCTTTCGCTCCGCTTCTTCCTCTTGATCCCCATTCATTAGATTTTCGTTTTTCCGGTTGTGCTCTTAATACTCGAGTGGCAGCTTCTTCCCTCATATCTCTTCGCATCTCTCGCTACTCCACTCTAGCTAGCTATGCGAGTTTAATTAGACCAAAGAGGCAGACACTACACATCTTCAACATCTTCAAATCTCATCAAATTAGACGCCGCAACGTAACTTGACACATTCTTTCCCTCCCCCCCACACATGAACCAATTAAGCAAACGATTCCCTTTGCCACTAGCCACTCCTGTATTTTGCTCTGATGACTCATTCCGCCCCAAATCGCTAGCCAATAATTCCAAGTCCAGACAGACGTCTGTCTGATTGTCGCAACTGTTTAGCCAATCTATAAAGCAAATGAAGCCAGCTAAGCGTGTGACAAAGGAAGCTCAATCGGAACCCTCCCTTTAGCCGGTCCAACTGACCCCTGGCCTCCATGACCCAAGCTCCTCTCGAGTTACCACAATATTAATTTATATATAGGTATTTACTTAGTATATATATATATATATATATATATATATATATATATATATATATTTCTGCTGCTATTGCCACATTTAATGTTGAGCGTCGTGCAACATTTGCATAATCCATTCACACGCTGCTCTATTAAATGTGGTTGAATGCATTCATTTCAATCATTTAACATTCAGCAGTCAACACTCAACACTCAACCGCATTCGAGATGACAATGCACTCATTAGTGGTCGGCAAATGCAGCAAATGCAGCAGTTGTAAACTGCATTTAAATTGCACTTACAAAATAAACATTGCATAAAATGCCGTGTGGAAATGTGCGCCAAATCGTCGTCGACGTTGACCTCGAATCAGACGGACGCATTCAGGGCCCGGCAATAAAACTACAATCTCACAATCTCTTAATGCGCCCTATGCTCAGCTTCCGACGACTGAAGGCACTGAGCTAATAGATTCGTCTTGACTTGTAAACAGAATATTATTTGATAGAGAATGTTGTTTTCCTCTTGATATCAATAAATATGACATTTTGTGGTTTATTGCTCTATCAAGAGTTGCTATAACTTATTAACTTTTACTGAGTGGAAATGGCTTAGTTTATGGAAGTTAAATTCTATTTACTATTAAGAGGTTTTTAAGATTTCGAATTTATTGAACATATAAAGAATAGCGACTGGTTTTGATATACGATGTGATATATTATTTTCGATATATGGTTAGAAAGTTTCAGCTAGTTTCCCAAAGTTCCATAATGTTAACTGATGTAACATAAGAGAGCTACGCCAGGAAACTAGAGCTATAGCGCTATATAAAACCAAGAGTTTTTCCGCTTAGCTTAACGTATTTTATGCTCGTATAGCCTGTCTTATGTAAAGAAAAATCGAGAAATCGAATATTATTATATGTCAGCTCTGTTGATAAGGATTTCCTTCGTTCGTATCTTGTAGACTATTCCTTTGTGCAGCTAATCAAAATCCTAATAGTCAAATGAGCTTTTAAGGATTTGTTAATCTCTCCTAGGGAAATGAAAACGGTCTTTGATATGTTTCATTTGATATCATATGTTTATAGTATATAGAAGATCCTTGGATTTAGAAGAATTCCCAAGGACTTTCTTCCACTCTAGATATCTATTTCCTTTCCACGGACTCGACAAATCTATTTATTTAACATGAATATTTCCTATAAGACAGTTAGGAACTATTATAATAATAACAACAACAACATGTTCAACTACAAGTATCATTAAAAACCTTGCCTGGTCTCCCTGATATATAACTGGAAGAGAATAACCTTCAGGCTTGCCCTCTCAAGTCGCAGTCCAAGTCGAGCCATTCTCAATTCATTTATCTCTAATGACTCGGTCAATCGCGCAATCTGTGAGCACGTTATTGCACAGCAGTTGCATTTGGCAGCCAGCAGACTCTTAAATCAAGGCACGAACTATCGATGAACCCGAAAAGACCTAGCACACATGCACAGACGAGCTCGAACGCCCTACCCCTAGATGTAAACCCGTTACGTGCCACATTTGGCTGCAAGCCAGCTATAGAAAGAAATTGCAGCTGGCCAAACAGACAGAAATAAAAGAAGTTTTTAATATGTGAGCACAAGCTAGAGAAGGAGAGAGTAGACGGGTTTAGGGGTAGGGGTAGGGGCGTCTTTTAGGGTTTGGCTTTGGCTAGACAAAAGCGCACAGAGCTCTGGCGCCGCTTGCGCAAGGATGTTCATGTCAATTCAAAACGTTGGCTTAATAGTATCCAAAATTTAACGGGTCTCATTCGCTGCTGAACCGCAAACAAAGGCCGCCCACACAGGAGTCGGCCGTCAACGCGTCTCGCGTATTTGTTTAGAGCCAACAAATTGGCAGGCAAGGCCTGGCCTGGCCTGGCCTGGTCGGGTCTGGGCCCTGCCATTAACCAGCTTCAGCTTGGCTCTGGGGGCTGGGGGCATTTGCATAGACGTCGACGATAATTGCATGAAATTATAATGCAGCCCATGTGTAGCCTGTCGCTCGTAGGAGTCGATGCCCACACACACACACACACATAGAGATGCTGTGTGTGTATATAATTATAGAGAGTGATTCAAACCCAGCACTAACCTACTCTCTCTCTCTCTCTCTCTCCCTCCCTCTTTGCAGCATCATCGTGGCAGCAATGCAAGCGAGGAGCGCGTGCCACAGCCACACTCACCACACGATGGCGGCCACATGAGCGGCGGACTGCAGCATTCGGGCTCGCGGGCCACGTTGCGTCATTCAATGAATCACTCCAGCAGCTCAATGACGGGCGGCTCCGCCTCCAGTTCGACGCCCGCCTCGCCGCAGCTGAGCGGCGGCCAGCTGCTGTCGAACGGACACCATTATCAGTCACAGTCGTCGGTATCGTCGAACTCATCGATTGTGTCGGCCATACCCGCCTCGCAGCGCCTGCTCGAGGAGGCGCTGGCCAAGCCGGCGCCCTATCCGATGATCCTGCTGCCGGTGCATGGCGGCTACTGGCTGGACGGCACTGAGCACGAGTGCAGCTACGATGCACGGGGCAATCCGCAGCTGCCGCAGACCACCTGGATGGCCAAGTTCGAGATGGACGATACGGCCAAGTGCTATCGGCGCTTCTATGCGGCCAGGGAGCACTCGAATCTGGTTGGGCATGATGAGCAGCTCGGCCCGGTGCTCATCTCGATCAAAACGGAGAACGTGGCCAATCAGGAGCATATGCGCATCCTGCTGCGCCTGCGCACCGGCACCATGCACGAGCTGATACCGGTCTCGTGCTTGGGCGCCCAGCCCAGTCCGGCGAAGATGGTGCGGCTGCTGAACGAACAGATCCAGGTGGATAACTTTATGCCGGTGTTGTGCCCGAAGGCATCGCAGCTGATCAGCGTCTATGATGAGCATGTGCTTGTCTCGCACTTCAAGTTCGGCGTGCTCTACCAAAGATATGGCCAGACCACCGAGGAGGAGCTCTTCGGCAACCAGCAGACCTCGCCGGCCTTCGAGGAGTTCCTCGATGTGATTGGCCAGCGCATCAGGCTCAAGGACCACAAGGGCTATCGCGGCGGCCTGGACATCCAGAACGGGCACACCGGCGACACGGCCGTCTATGAGGTGTTCAAGGAGCGCGAGGTCATGTTCCATGTGTCCACGCTGCTGCCCCACACCGAGGGTGATCCGCAGCAGCTGCAGCGCAAGCGGCACATCGGCAACGACATCGTGGCCATCGTGTTCCAGGAGACGAACACACCCTTCTCCCCGGACATGATTGCCAGCCACTTTCTGCACGCGTTCATTGTGGTGCAGCCCCTGGAGCCGAACACGCCGCACACCCGCTACAAGGTGAGCGTGACGGCCCGGGACGATGTGCCCTTCTTTGGGCCGACGCTGCCCAATCCGGCGGTCTTTCGCAAGGGCCTGGAATTCAAGGAGTTCCTGCTGACCAAGCTGATCAATGCCGAGAACGCCTGCTACAAGGCCGAGAAGTTTGCCAAGCTTGAGCTGCGCACCCGCACCTCGCTGCTGCAGAATCTAGTGGAGGAGCTGAAGGAGAAGACGCGCGACTTTCTAGGCGCCGATCTGTCGCAGACCCTGGCCGGCAGTCCGACACCCGAGACGCCCAAGTCGGAGAGCGGAGGGGGCGGCGGCGGCAATGCGGGCACTCGTTTCATTGACACCGTCAAGAAGGCGCTGATCATGCGCGTGCGCTCCCAGAGCGTGGACACCGGCAACGGGGCGCATCCGGACAAGTTCAGCGTGAACACCAAGGTGGGCACGCTCAACTCCAAGAAGGAGCCTCAGCCCGAGACACAAACGCCCAATCTAAACGTGAGTAGACATTGGCTTCGCTCTAGTCGATGCAATTAGCTAATCCCATTCTCTTTCTCTTGTTGCCCTGCAGACCTGCAGTCGCACGGCCTCCAAGTCGTCCTCAAAGTCAAAATCCTCGAATGAGTCCACATCCTCTTCGCCGGACATCACCTCACGTCCGGCTAACCATAATCACAACAACAACAACAACAACAACAATCCAGCTGGCGGCCAACAAAATGGCGGTGGTGGCATTGCCGCCGTCGCCGTCAGCGCTGCCCAAAACGGCGGCATTGTGGGCGTGGCCGTGGCCACCATGTCCGAGGCGAGCGACGACTCCAGCCTGAACAGCGTCGATCTGGACCCGATGATGGGCCACCTGGACGGCGGTGCCGCCTACATCGACAGCGACACGGGCCTGGAGAGCATGAGCTCCGCGGAGGCAACGACCAAGGCCTGCTCGCTGTGCCTCGAGGGGGTGCAGGGCACCACCATGATGGGCAGCTCGCCCAGCAACGAGACCATCATGATGATCGAGAATCTGCGCCAGGAGGTGACGCGGCTCAAGTGCGACAAGCTCGATTTGCTGCGACAGAATGTGGTAAGTAGAGAGAGAGAGAAAGAGAGTGAGAGAGTGAGAGAGAGATATCCCTATAGAACAATCAACTCATTTAAATATTCTCTCTCTTTCTTGCAGACCTGCCAAAGGGACATCAAACGTTTGCGGGAGCGAGAGCTATCGCTGCAAGGCGATCTGGCGGCAGCCGGACGTGAGATTCTGCGTCTGCGCGATCTGCTCAAGGAATATATGCCGGATACAGCCGCAGCGCCGCTCTCCATTTCGCCCATCTAAAGCGTCTAACGCCAAGCACAAAACAGGGAGGGACGGAGACAGAGAGAGAGAGAGAGAGAGAGAGAGAGAGAGAGAGAGAGGGGGAGAAGGGAAGGAAGAGATCGGAGGAACCACTGTGCCGTGTTTAACACTTTGGATGCGTCGTTATTTGTTTTTTCTTTTTTATTTCTGGGGCCAGTTCTCGCAAAACTGTATTATATTTAGTTTGCATAGCTGTTGGAACTCGAAGAGGATTGAAAGCTGAGGTGTGGCGGCATATATATTATTACAGTTTAGTCTACAAATATACACATAACAGTTACGTATAACAGTTAAAAGAAAATCAACTTAGAGAAAAAAAAAAACATACACACACACAGAACTCAAAAAGTTACACCAAATATATAGTTGATAAGTCTTTAAGCATATTTAACGCAATGTTTAGAATCCCCAAAAAAACAAACAAATTTCCCACAGACGCAAAAACTAAGCCTTAAATATAAGTAGACAGAGAGAGAGAGAGAGGGACAGGGAGAGGGACAGGGAGAGGGAGTATAACAGAGAGAGAGAGAGCGAGAGCTTATCGATTAGCGCATAACACAGTTACAAAAAGTTTACATAGAAACGTCTTCGAGTTCGAATTCGACTTCGAGTTTTAGCTCGTCATCGATTTAGTAGCAGAGTAGAGCGATCCTTGGCAACCCTGCACTGTGGCAACCCTGTTAGCTCCGCTCGTTTCCATTCATCACGTAGACCTCAACAGCAATTATTAACCAATTAAAAGAAAGAGGAAGAACAACAAAATCGAAGGCGAATTAAATTAACGTATATATTTATTCAAATATATAAATATATATAGATATATTCTATTATGTATGTGTTTTAAAGTTACAAATGCAAACAAAACTCTCGTTAGTTTTTGTTTTTAGCTGCAATCGATAAATATTATTAAACAGAAGAAAATAAGAAAAACAAAAACTCTTAACTCTTAAGTTTAAGTTGCTTTAAATAATTTCTAATTACAATTTAGTTTGATTAAGTTGTGGGCTAAGCAACGGAGGAGCTTAAGCTAAGCTAACGACGACTCAGCGGAAGGCAAGGAGAATGTTATCGAAATTATTATTATCGAAAATCATCTGTTGTTTTGCCCTTGTATATATATTATTTACATAGTTCTCGATTTAACGATTTATCGATATATCTGTCGATCTAACGTAATTACTATGCAATTTAATGACTATTTAATAAACGTAATGAAAAATGATAAATAATTATCGATAAACGATTTAGCCCAGAGCAAAGTGTGCAAGATTTTTCAAATATACATATATATATATACGGCTAAAGAACACAAAAATACACACACACATTCACACAACCACACGCATACATATATAGCATACAATTATACATCAAATCAAAGAGTTCTTATCGAGTTGATCTAAATGTATGAATTCTACCCTAAGTACCACAAATTGTTTTTTGTTGACAAAAATTCATTATTTTAATTGTGTAAAATTACAAAAACAAACAACAAAGAAAAACCAACAAAACATACATATATAATTATATATATGCAAAATATATGGAATATATACATAAAAATATATTGTGCTGTTTTTATTTACTAACAAAATAACCTTGAAACGTTAAAAATTAATTTTTGGATGAACTTCAGCAAAACTCCTTTTTTCAAATCACGCGCCCTTCTTTTACGCGCTAGCCAGCACTGTTTGAGCTTTCTGTTGACAGCCACAGGGTGACCCGCTTTGTAAGCTTTTTGTTATATTGCTCTTCGTCGCGCACAGCCACACTGAACTGAACTGTTTAATTATTCAGTTTTGTTTTGTTTCTCGTGTAGCAATAATTCGCCTTTAATTATTGTTTCATAAAAGTGCTAAAATATTTTTATATTCTATAATGTTATATACTATTTACTTTAAATGTCAGTTTGGCAACTGATCTTAAAGTTCTGTTAGCGCGCTGTAATGGAATGTTGCTCTCCGAGCAGCTGTTGCGCTCTGCGCATGCTCTCTCTGTCGCACACATTTGCTTATTGTACCCTGTGCTTGGTGATTAGAAAGAGTTGTCTGAGTTGATATACAATCAGGTGCACTTGGTCAAAGTGAATTGTGATAAACAAATATACATATTTAGTAATTTATTATATTAAGAAATTTAAACTGAATTGAGAAATATATATAAAACAAAACAAATATCAATTAAACTTATAAAATTGTATATATATATATATAATAAATAATAACAAGAAGTTTAACTTTATAATTACAATAATTACTGTATTAATAAAACACAATGTTTTGTGAAACCAATGCGTAAACTGATACAAGAAACTGTAGTGCTTCACAGAGTATGTCATATGTGTCATACTCGTATTTTTGCTCCCGCTGCTTATAATGCTTTCGGTGTTTTTTCCAACTCTCAAAACGCGAGAAACTTTTGGTGTGGACGGACGTTTCGTCGCCGCCGTCGTCGTCGCGTGGAGGTTTCAGTTGCTTGAATTAGAGAATTGTTATTGTTTTCATACAGGCCTTTGGGCTGAGAAGGCGGTGCTCAGAGGGTGCATTTAATACATATAGAGTATCATTGAATAAAACACCGTTCTCTAATTTTAAAGCGAATCAATGCAAGTCGCGTGTGTCTTCGTTCGGCAAAAAGAAATAGTGCGAAAAATCTCTTGAGTGACTTGTATTTGCATTTTGCAATTTGCTTTTGTTTCGTTTTGGCGGCGCTGTCGTCGGCTGCTGTGCACGTAAAACATAAAAACGATTCTCATTAAAAATAATAACAACAACAACATTAACATACCAAAAGAGTTGTACGTGTGCCAATATATGTGTATGGGAGTGTGTGTGCGCGCGGTTGAGTGTGGTAATTTTTTCGTCGTTATTACTTCATAACAGAGCGCAAAGCTGCACTGCTGCTCTCACGCGCTCTCTCTCTCCTGCTGTCTCTGTCTCCGTTATACGCTCTTAAGCTGTGTGTCGCTCTCGGCAGCAGCCGGCAGGCTCAACCGAAGAGGGTTGCAGCAGCAGCAGGAGCAGGAGCCACAGTTGTGACCACAACAAAAACTAAGTAGGAAAGCTTTGGCTAACACTCTTCACTCTCAATTGCGCTCTGCCTCTGTACACCCTCTCACTCAACGGCTTAGCCACCAAAAGGTAATTAGTTGTATTTTATTTTATTAATGTGACAAATAAGCAAATAATTGTGAGTGAATGCGTCTATATGTGTGTATGTGTGTGTGTCAGAACATTGTTACGTGTATGCGTAAGCAAATGAATCAAAAAATTAAGAAGGCAAACAAATTATTAAATAACAACAGCAGCAACAGCTACAACAGCAAGGCAAATAGAAGCAAGCTAGAGAGAGAATAAAATTCTCTCTTATATGTTGAGGCCGATCAGCAGCTGAGCCGAGCTTTGACTGTGCGTACGAAAGAGATGCAGATATCACAGCTTCACATGGTATAATCGTAGCCGGCGTCTCAGCTGCTACTGTGTTTGCTGCCTTTCTCTCTCTCTCGCACTTTACCGCTGTTGTTGGTTTGGCTGTTCCTGGGATAAGAACAGCAATAAAATGACAATAAACGTTAAGTATATTGAGAAGGCGCTTGTAATGGGGGTGGGTGGGCTTCCTTTACACTTGAGCAAGCAGCTGCTGCTTGGCTAGGGGGCGTGGCAGGGCTAAGGCGATACGTGCACTCGACTAATCAGCCGCCAGCTTCAAAAGCTAGCGATTAAGTCGAGTCTTATCAACGTAAGGTGCTCCGAGGGGTTGCCAAGGCATATAGGGGTCCAGTATATGTGTATATATGTATGCATGAGCATATGTATGCATATGTATGTGTGCAATGAGCATTCGAGGTGAACGAATTTTAGAGCTAGATAATAAGATGCATTGCATTTACGGTTATGTCAAAGTTGCCAATTGCATCCTTATCTGAGAGCAAAAAATTGCTAATTGTTTCCAATTAGAATTTTGCATTACAATGTGACATGTGAGATCAAGATCCAATTGGTTGGCATCATCGAATAATATTTCGTCATTCGTTTATTTATAAGTCAAATCAGAGTACATTTTAATTATTTAAGTTTCATATATTTAAATTTGCTATGATGATTTTATAAGCTTTTAATAAATGGTTTTCAGTAGCATTATGTTATTTGCAATGTTAATAATTTTAGAAGAAATATCAATCCAAATATACATATATTTTTATTTCCTCAGAGCATTCTTTTAAAATTATTTTAAAAATCTTTTAATATTCCTCAGAAATATTCGAAAAATCTCACGAATTACGTGAAATATTTAAACAATGTACAGCATTTATAAAGAAAAGAATTTATTTAACTTTTTCCCGGACATATGTTGGTATTCTGAACACTTAAATTACTTAAATATCTATTGGAAAATCCCAATTCCACTTCTAATTAGAGTTGCGATCTGCTAGTGTGGTACCACTTGAAGCAGGTGCAAAGTTCCATGGATCATTTAAGAAGCATCAGGTGGCAATTTAATTGTCCGTGCGACGCGGTCGCTCGAATATCTCTCCGCTAATGTGCCATATGTCGGGTCGTGGAGTCGAATGGCGCACGCTCATTATCTTGTCTCCCGTTTGTTTTATGCGTCTGCGACACTGGCGTCTGTTTTGCTCCAGTCAGCCAACCCACCAAGCCATGGGCCATTGGAGCAACCACTCAACAGACGTCGACAGAGACCAAACAACAAGCAAATAATTTTTTGGGGGTCGGCCACGGCTGCCCCATACCACACAATCGTGGTGGCTTTGAGTGGTTGGGTGGTGGCACCACACGCACATATCTCAAGCGTATAAAAAGGGCTCATAATTTTCTGTTTAATTACAATGAGCAAACAACTGCACCGCTTGCCCCCCACTGATGGGTAGCTGCGGCTCTTCATCCACATTACTAACCCTTGACGAGCTCCTGCCCCTACCAAGGCGACCTTTTGAGCTTTCACCTGACTGTGCAACCTATTAATAAATCTCATTAATAAATTAAACGTTTTAACGCAGGAAATTTCCTTCTCGGAGATGCTCGCTTCCCGCATATACGCACACGCCATCTGGCGGCGCGTTTTGGCATATATTTTAGCTGACTTTTTGTTTAGCTTATTGGAGAGGGTACTCTATTTGTATAGGAGAGTGTGTAACATATCAGAATAAACTCATTTGTAGATTGAAAAACATGTTTTTAGTTTTTAGAATATTTTTATAGCTCATTAGATTGGATTATAGGCTCAATTCCCATCAATATATAAGCTATAGGCTATTTCAATATTAAATTTGTAGCTTATTAATATTTTTCCAACAAGGCTTTGATCATTTTTACTACATCAATAAAATTTTTATTACATTCGTATAATAATTATTTCAGAAATGCCATTAGATCGATAAAAATAAAACTTGGTTTTTAAAAGTATTTCAGCTATAGAATATTAATTATGTGTTTGTTTGCAAATATTTATATATCTGTTTATGTAAATTTATAAGTTATACATTTTTTGATTAATAATTTTTAATCAGAAATTGAGTACTGATGTAATAAAAAAAACTATAATACTGTATTTAAATCGATATTTTGATAGAATTTTATATTATAGATTTGGAATAATTATATTCGGCTGAGGAAAACATTGTTAAAAATTTATTTCAATTTAGATTAAATTTGTTTTATTTTTAAGAAAGATTTCTAAAGCTATAGAAAAATATAATAAATATATATAATTAAGCGAAAATTATTTGTAGCATGTAAATTATCAGAATAATTGAGTATGCCAATTTTTGCGACATATTTTTTGTATTTTCTTGGTATTAATTCATAAATGTTCTCATCAGCAGATATTATATTGTATACAAACTTCAAAATCTTATTTTTTGTGCTCTTGCTGGATTCGCTATTATTCTCAATCAAAGCGTTCCGTTCTCATTTCCTTCTAGGGAACAAGGAAAAGTCACTGGGGAACGGACCTATTCCCATGCGGTGGCTGCGAGCGGCATTATTAGTGATATTTTTCACAATTTTTTTGGTTTCACTTTGATTCACATTCTTGCTCCATAAATCAAAATTCGCGAAATTTTTGTCAACACGCTTTCGTATATATACATGGAAGTACACAAATTATGATGCCATAAAAATATATATATTTTTTTACAAATAATAGATGATATAAATCTGCTATACATCTGATTCGTACATGTCCCCATTTCCACTTGTTTGCCAGCAAGTGTATCCACAGCTCGACTTGCCATTCAGTAAACTTGACCCGCTTGTTTATTGTTTTTTCTTCTCGTTATTTGCTCGTGTTTGATTCTCATCCTTTGCTAGTTCGTCTTTCGATTGGGCGTGTTTTAAAAATAAATCATAAGGTCTATATATACACACGTATAGATGTGTATGTGTATATACAAATAAAATAAGAATATTGTTATAATTTGATTCGAATTGCATTGAGTTTTCAAATCTTCTGCAGCTTGACACGCGCACCTATTCATTTCACTTTTGGGAGTGCCCCTACTCTCGTCGCCTTACCTAGTTACCTACGGATGTATTTACCTGCCTAGCTACACCTTAGCCACCACCTACCCCTTAAGCTTTTGCCATTTAATTCGTTTACTTTGGGCCCTATCTTGAAATGTGAATTTTTTGGTGGAAACGTGAAAACACGTAAAATGCTCATTTTTCTTCATTTTTTGGCAATTGTGACTTTTATTATAGGTGTAAGTACTGTTATGTTCGCTCCATTTGCAAGGGGGACACATTTTACCTACGACACATTTTCGACTACATTATGAGCGAATTTATCGTACGAATTGCGAATGTTTATTTTTCTATTTGAATATGAGTAAATTTGCAACTATTTCTGGGTTGAGCTCTGAATGTTTCGTTTCGGTTTCTGAGGTTGCTTTAAACTGAAATTTATTTATGTGTATGGCCGTGGGGCATGGCCAGGGCATAGGGCATAGCTAAATGTACAGACGACACGTATGAAAAATTAAATAAAAGAACAAAAAAAAAAAAAAACAAACATTTTTTGTAATGCCAAATATTACATTATTATGTTGGTCGAGTTTAAGCGATAAGCAATTGTATAATAATATGAACAAAATTCGTTTCCTTTTGTTTATTGTGTGGTTTATCGCAATGCAGTGGAAAAGGAAACCCCTAAATGATAGCGAATTCATTTTCGAGCTTTACCACAATAGAAAAGTGTAAATAGAAAAGTTTGCGTTGGGCGTAGATTGAGGGAATGTTGTTGAGGAGCTCGAATATATAATAGATAACATTTTAATAATTATATTTGAATATTCGATTTTTTATTTTGTATTTATTTATTATATTTAATTTTGTTTTTATATACATTTTTTTCTGTAATATTTATTTATTAAATTTTTTTTTTTTAATGTATTTTGTATATAAATTTGCTTTTAAAACTTGCCATTTAATTATATTGCATTTGCACGGCATTTAATTATATTGTATTTGCATGGCTTATTTGCACTTAAAATATTGTCATAAAATTGCTGCTAATGAGCGACTGTTATGATGATGATTATTATTATATGAGATCATTTATATATTCTATATTATTTTGTTAATAATTACATAATGATACTTGCTGTGCCAAATATTTAGTCAGGACTTGGCAATTGACGATTCAGAATACTTCTAGCACACTAGTATTATACAATGTTATAGAAGCGGTGCACATAAGATAGTAGATAGATGAATATATAGTTTTATTGAATTGACTTTAAGCATTTTTCGGCTCTATAATATACTCTCTATTCCATCGCATTATCTTCATAAGATAATAGTTTAGTATATATAACATCAATTGATTTTATTATTTTGTATACTAATATTACAATAATTTATTAATTGGCTGATATTATCTAATGGAATTTATTGTTACTGAACTGATCAAATAATAATTAACATAATTTTCATTTTAATATAAAATACATTTTCAGTGCATTAAATCACTAGCCCAAAGCAAATTCCTATAAATCTTCAGACTTTCAACAAGTTGATATCATTAATCTGCGCAATAAATAATAATTCATTTGTAATCGATTACATTTTTAAAAACTACAAAAAAAAAAAAAAAAACTTAAAAAACTATATAAATTTTGTTA